AACAGGAGACGTTCCGGACAGTGGTTGGATTTCGACGAACCACCGAGGTAATTTTCAAAGCCGAACCCTCACGAAAAAAAAGATTCTGGTCACGGCTTGGTGGTCATCGGCTGGTGTGATCCACTATAACTTTTTATCACCAGGCCAAACAATCAGCAGAACCTTACTGTGAAGAAATCGACGAATTGTACCGAAAATTTTGTCAGCTGCAGCCAACACTTATCAAAAGAAAGGGTCCGATTCTTTTGCATGACAACGCCCGCCCACACCTCGCCATATTCTTCAGACCTTTCGCCAACCGACTATCACCTTTTCAACATTTTCAGAACTCCCTTGCTGGAAAATACTTCATCAATCAGGACCAGGCAAAAAAGCCTTCGTGGATTTCGTGAATTTTCGACCACCCAGTTTTTTACTTTGATGGGATTTCTCGACTGCTGTCACATTGGCAAAAGTGTGCTGATTCGAATGGTGCCTATTTCGATTAAATCCGATGAGTATTAAAAAAGTTACGATCGTTTAAAGTGAAACACCCAAAACGCTGAGAACTTTCCGGACAACCTAATAGCTATTTCGCACATATACACCAACTGAAAAGTGTTGATACGCTGACAGCCCATTTCCTGAGTGATTTTTAGCAAATTTCAAGGTTATATAACATTTTTCAACGGCGCTGTTTTTACACCCACACTTCACACAATGAATATAGTCATAGACCCGCATTCATGCAGCATTCATTCATGCATGCATTCTGAGTGAGCGAGACTGACCTCCTAGTTGAGATTCTAACCTGCTGATTGAGGCATTCTGCGGCGATAGTAGGCGAGATGGGCGGTGCTCCTCATGGTGGCGGGGTTTAGAAAAAAAGGTCAGAATTCTGCGAAAAGACGCAAAAGTGGGTGTGGTTGAATTGGCACAGCCTAGCGTGTCGGTGCATAGTTGCACGTCTACAAAGACGTTCGTTGTGAAAAAGTGGGTGGAAAGACTGCTGCTCCGAAAAATGCTGCAAGGATTTAAAATTTGCAGAAAATTCTCAAAAAGTGGGCGGAGTCGCCCAATTCTTTGCGTACAGTCCTTTTCAGGTAATGTGTATGTGCGAAATAGCAAAAGGTCAAAAAGCCGCAGAAGCAGAAGTTATAAAGAAACTAGGAGAATCATGGCCGTGCTGAAAAGTTGGCGTAGCTCTAGGGGCGAGGGTTTGCTAGGGTGTTTAATGCGCTCTGGTTAGTTATTTGTCGGGTGGTAAAAAGTGTGGCGAACCTGATTTGAAAGGCAGTGAATTTGGCTCGGAAAGTAGTGGTGATTTCGGCTTGAAAAGTGGTGAATTCAAAGTGAAAATGGTATACGCATTGGTTGTAATTAGTAATCACGTATATTTAGATCCATAACTTTATACATTTAGACTCCTCCGCCGCACGATGTACCGTCTGGGAGGGTTTCTCCTAGTTGGGAAAGGTACTGTCCTGAAGAAGACTTCACCAACTGGGATAATGGCAGCCTCGATCAGGTTGCAGTCGGTCAGCCGCCACTATGTGTTCCAAAAAGTGAACCAGTTGACGAACCTCTGGACCATACGTATCATCGTCATATACCTGGTTCTCGCAATTACCATCACTACGATGCTCAGCCTTACAGCTACTATGACTATGACCCGTATCCTCAAGCTCACTATGAGCAGCGTCTGTCATGGGACTACGGCGAAAATTCTCGAGACTTTAGACATGTCCCATTTGAACAGCAATACGGGCGTGTTGTTTATATGGAACCTACACGTCGCTATCCTCCAACAGCTACAGCCGCTGTGCCTAATTATGTTTATGATCCTCACTATTATGAAGCCGATTTGCCCCCACCTCCTGCACCGCCTGATCTTGGAGAACCACGCATGAATCGTGCACCGTATTATCGTGAGTTATAATTGGCTACCTTCGCGTAGATGCCGTTTTTGTAGTTTTTTTGGTGTTCATTGTACAGCTGATATGGCCGCAATCAGTAGGGGCGGCTTAAAGAAGGATAGTATGAACCTACCAGCTGTGTTTCCACTATTGGTTGTTTTGTCTCTTGTTCGACAGCAATCAATCAGCGTTGGTAGAACAAATTGGCGGGAACCGGTCGTCCCGCCCTCCCAATACCGCCTCGACTGACTTCGGCGCTATCAGCTATATATGAAGAGTTGTTTCTAGGAATTTCTGTCATGTTTTTTCCATATTGGTATCTTTTTACCGGTTTCCCGCGCCTGGTGCTGTTTTTGATTCAAAATCATTTTTGTTGGTGTGTGCTTTTGAGGTGATTTTCATGAAGTCGTTTAGGATTATTCCACTCTTACAGAAGGTCTCATTATTTGCATGTTCCTGTTTTTTTTTCATTCACGTTTCTATGAAGACATTTAATGAAGTATTAATTGTGACCTTTCTTTGAAATGAAGTTTCTCTCTATCTCTGGTAAAATGTAAAACTATGCGTATAAACGTGTTTACTTGATTACGATTGACAGCCGTGTGGGGATTCTTTGAATTCGTTTCAGATTTTCACTGCAAACATACGGTCAGGGTTCGATAAGTGTATGCATGACCACCCGACGAAGAGATTGAGCCGGGTTAGTCAGCCCAGAGAGACGGTCAAGACAGTCGTAATTTGCCGCGCCGTCGCTTGGCGCGTGTGCCACGAATTCTCGGTGCAAATCAGTATGTTGATTGGAGCGGCGAAACTCGTATGAATCTAAGGTAAAAGTTTTCGACGTTTGATACCAATCTTACTCATCCCTTCAACAGTTGAATTCAAACGGTCAGGCAAGGCTGTCCGTTCCTGCAGGTGCAGCGCCCCTCGTGGGCCTACCAGCGCGGTATATGCTATTGTATTGTCACAGTTCAAATCCTTAGAATGTGTATCCGCAAAACATTGAATTGCAACGTCCGGAAAAAGAACAGGTCACTGGACTCCGCTTTCCATGGATTTGTCTCGGTCTACCTTATTTCTTCCACGTCAATTCAGTTTTCTTCAAGAACCGTTCATGCCACAGTAGCGAACTCGAAGAAATCGACGGCTGGTTTCATAGAAACCCTGTCGTCCCATATGTTTCCTATACACAGTTAATTTTTGATTTCCACTGGGCAGGACAAGCTTCATATTGCGTTGTTTACTCAGAGAACCTACGTTTGAAATCGCCACCCCCGCTCTTTCCTCTGCGCTGGAGTCCCTGAGAGGACTTTCATGTACATTTAACGAGTCAGTGCTTTTCAAAGGCAGTCTGCGACCAGATGATATGAACAATTTGAGACGGTCCGTTCCGCATTTGCAAATGATGTACCTTTGCCGCGAAACGAAAGTGATTTGTAAGAACGGCTAGACGCCTGTCCCGGTAGTCAGGCTCCGCCCATAAAGGTAACCTTCTCTTCTAATTTCGTTCCTCAATCGCTGCTTCGTGTGAGCAAGGCTTTAACGGTCAGCTGCTGCTGGTCGTTAAAGTCATGCTGCTGTAGGCAAATCCGCTCAATAAATTACAAACGACACGAATCAGATGATGGTCTTCATGATTCGAAGTGCTAACAAAGGCGAGTTTCTCGTCTTTGAGTTCTTCGACCTGGCTAGAAACGCAGGCATCGAAGCGATGCGGTGGAACGGCCCACCAAAGGATGACCGTGGTGATTACGCAACGCATCCTCACCGAAGTACGCCAGGGACATGAGGGAGGCATTTGCAAAGACAAAAGTGACCAGCAGTTGTCTTTCAAACTTAGTGCCACCTTTGAGGAGGCGGTCGGATGGCGCGGCTGCCATTGAAGTAGTGCCCCCCCCCCACCCTCCCCTAACCGTGTCTCGTCAACGGGTCCTTCTAGTCCGGATAGTTTGTGCGCATCACTCAAAGTCATTATTGTGTCAGTATCATGTATTACAGACCACTTAGTTGGTCTGTCGTCTTGTAAGTCTCTCAGTCTCTCGGTCTTGTAAGTTGTAGATGGATCGACAGCATTCCATGCCTCCACCGAATTTGATTTAAAAATTACGGTGTTTGTGCAACTCAATAATCAGGGATTTGAGTGGTGCTAACGAGTTGTCAGTAGTAAAAGATGCGATGCACTGACAAGCACGGGTGGCAACTGCGGCCAACGCGCCTTGCACCTCCAGCTATTTTTTCTCCCTAAATGTCTGTCAATAGATGGTGCTGTACTCGCTGGTCTGTGTACTCTCCTCATTTCGCCGACTGTGGCTGCACGCTACTCTCCTCATTTCATCGTTTCCTCTGCACGCGTAGTATCTCTTGTGCTCGTTCTACGCTCAAACCTGGCAGGGATCTTATTTAAGACGCTTTTGTACCGTCTCTACAGCTCTACAGCTTCTGCGTCCCACCACCTCGACTGGTCTTTAAAGACAATCAGACGCTCATGCAATTCGTATTCTGACGCTTTCCTAAGTTGTCCCCCGCTGATCTCATTGGCTATTTACTGTCACGAGATGGTTTTTACATCCACGTTTTTCCTTTCTTTACTGTCACATGGTATTATCACTAGGTACGAGAGAACGACAAATTAGCCAGAGGCGGCAGAATATCGCTTTGTGATCAGAAAATGAGCAGACCTAGAAGCCTAGAAAGAGGATGCCAGCTCATTTGTTCTCCATCATTTTTTTTGCTGCTTCTCTTCCTTAGAGAGTCACGCAGCGGCTATAGGTTTGTGATTCAACCCTACTATCTACAATATACAGTCGCCGAGTTTGACTTCAAGGTGGCCATCCAACGGACAGCCGAGCTCTCGTTTGAGATGGGAAGAGAATATGTGTGGGAATTCTGAGCATTTTGCTATTGAATATCGCCCAAGTCCTTAACAGACTTTAATTGTAAGGAATTATTGTTAACAGTTCCGTGATCACCACTTCCAAAAAGTGCCTTTGTAGTGGTGCTGCGTCAGGTTTTTCAGTGCTGAAAGAAACTCGTTCAGCTTTTGCTTCAACTCGTTTATGTCCTACACAGGAATCGCCTTCACGAATAAAGATGACTGGTACGGCTCTACTCAGCTGGGCAATACTTGGTTGAATCACATGGCTTCGCTTGGCAGATATAATTGTGGTCGTTGTCGCAGTCGTCAGTGAACCATGCAGATCTAAACGGTAAGTAGCTATAGTAATAATGACGATTACGGTTTGGTTCGAAGTTATAGTGTACTTCGCTGCGGACGGTTGGGCGTGTCAGGCAGTATGAGTGTGTCACGCCGTCAAAGCCGTTCTCTGCCTTCTTGTTGAAGCGCGCATGCGACAAAAAGTGGTAGAAAACGAGTAATACGAACGATATGATACAGTCATATCACTTGCTCGCTTTAAACTGGTGGAGAACGGGTTTGGCACTCGCCAAACGCAGCCGCACTTACACGCCCAACCGTCCGCAGCGAACTACACTATAATGTTGAAACTACGTCAAAATTTTCAGAAAGTGAGGTTTACTTTCTGATTTGTTAGGACTTTTTTCGGTGGTTTCCTAGCATAGGATGTGAAAGTATCTGTTGTATATGTACGAAATTTGAAGTGAAACAGCAGAGAAAACTTACTGAAGTCCTCGGTATAGTTGCACGTAGGCGCAATTTCCCGTGCGGTAATTCGGTTGACCCGGAGCCCATTTCGTGAATCCAGCCTAGAATTGTTCGGCATAGTGCATGGAATTATGGTTCAACAATATTTTGTTAAATCATCGCATTTGCCTTAGTGCTCTCGGATACTGACTTATCCATATGAATATTAGCAAAAGATAAAATGCTTACGATATCGATTATCGGAGAGCTCTGCACTCTCCTTATCCAGATTTCGTGAACTATGTTCTCTACTTTTTCGTGGGTGAAATGCCATTGCTGTGTTCACATTGTACGGTAACCGGATGGGCGGAAACACGTGACCATTCTGCCTACTTCATTGTCTCACCCTGCTCATTCACCGTATTGGAAAGACAATGAGGACGGTAGAATGGTTGGGTGTATGAGTCCATGCTTCAGCTTTCCAATCTTCATGGTCTTTAGGAAGCATTGCGCCTATCTGTCTCGAATGTGGCCAGCCTCATTCAACTTTCAATTTCATATATGAAAACTTCATGGTCTTTAGGAAGCATTGCGCCTATCTGTCTCGAATGTGGCCGGCCTCATTCAACTTTCAATTTCATATATGAAAACTTACTGAGTAGCCTCCTGGCCATGTCCATTGGTTACCATCATAACGCAGTCCCAACCAGAATTTCGTCTTTGGCGGGAAGGCTGTAATAACCAAATTCAGATTCTGGTATTCTGATGTCTAGTTTTTGTGTAAGAGCTTATGGAACCCTGAAGAAACTTTCTTGTACCTTCACTATTGCTAAAATCAGTTGGAGTGTGTTAGCGAAATATGGGTTCCAGTGCGGTGTCAGCCTCATTTACACTACTCACTGAACGCCCGAAGCCGCATCGAGTGACGGAAAACGGGCTGGCGCCGCGCTAATATCCCTCCTCAGCTGACGCCCCAGCTGACATTAGTACAAACGAACGTAATTCTGAGGTGTGACTGAGCGCTACCGACACATGGTGTGAACCGTTACTTACTAACCGTGGCATCGCAGTACAAGTTGACGCGCTTCACTCGCCGAGCGACGCGTCCTAGAGTGCCCGTGATTGTACAAGTTGACGCGCTTCACCCGCGAGCGACGCGTCCTAGAGTGCCCGTGATTGCTGGTTTGTCAATGAGTTTCTGTAGATAGCTATGTCCACGCATTGCTCAGAGCTCGAATTAGGGAGATTCGTGTGAATAATTCCGAACATTTGAATGATCTGATTTAACTGGCCTTCAAACTTCTTTTCCCAGCATCTCAGTCACCTTGCTTATGTTCCTTTAGTTTGTGTTGAAATATATACTTTACGACTTTGCTTTCCCTTGTTCAAATGACAGTTATTGATCGATAGTAGGTAAGTGCGTGGACAAGGCATCTAGGAGTACTTTTCATTCCACAAATCCTCAAATGTCTCGTGTGCGCCAAGCATAGACATTTCCCAATATTCTGTCACGAGCTGTCGCGAGTTCTTTGATTCAGTTAGATTTAGATTCGATTTAGTTATCTTTACCCAGCTTCACCTCAACGGTCAGTCTGTATCACAAAAAATTCTATTCTTACCGTACATTAAGAACGCGTCCTTCTTGGAGTCTTCATCGAGTACAAGCCTGGCGTCATTCCTTCGGAAACATGTTCGGTTGGCCAGTATCTACAAGCATCACCTTATCGAGTAATTAATCGTTTAGCAGCGCTATTCTCTTAGAGCCATGCTTGAAACGGAATGTTAAGGAATAGAGGAGTGTATTGTTCTATGGGCGCATGGGCTGCTTTTCTCTCTTGAAAGAGGCTCTATCTATAGAGGTGTGCGGAGGGAGTGCAGTGGAAGCTTCTGATCAAAACGAGGCAAATCTGAGGCTCACGGCATCGGTTACACTTGCCAATGGCATCATTTGGGTTAATAGTAAAGTGACAATAACCGCCATTTCGTCTGGGAGAGCTGTCATCTTCTTGCGGGCGTGGAGGCGACAAAGGTAGCGGTGGGGGGGGCAAAGAATTGAAGCATTCAAGGAACCTGCGGTTTTTGTCCACTGGTGCGATCTTTTCGAACAAAAACCGCAACTATGCGGTTTGTGGTTCGCAGTTCGGGTTCGGGTTTCTGGTTCGCAACTACTTGGCTAGATTAAAGTCCAACTCCACCGAAGCTCTTGCATCTACTACTGGCCTTGTTGCTTCATCTTCAAGATTTCATGGTCAAAGTAGAGTCGACGTCTGAGAAGCGAGGAAGCGAATCCAATACTTTGCAAACTGCTGAAGCAGGTTACACTTTAGATAAACATTCAGTTGCGTGCCACTTTTCCAGGTTTCAGGGTCGTCATGCTCGAACACCGTCACCACTTCTCACTCACGCTATCCTTAAAGGCAGTTGGCACGATAAATCGCTATACAGATGTAGGATTTATACGACTGGCTTAACAGAATTCCGTGACCTCGGACAGGCGCTCCGTGGCGCCTTTTCCAAGGAGGGTACCCCTATAACGCCCTATCGAGCAACAACATTCCGTCCCAAACGCCTTCCTCGCCCGCCCGCCCACAAACGGACGACCGTTTCTGACGCTCGTATTCATTCATTTGCTGAGCAAATTATGAAGCAAAGGGATTGGTATGAAGCGGCGGTGATGCTGCATGCATATATGGGTACACATATGCAGCCGTATCTTCGGTAGCGGTGATTGGCAAGATGCGTACGGGAAACTCGTCCGAAATCGATTTACAAGTCACTGAGAACGGAGGCTTTTTCTTCGCCGGATTTTGACCGTTTCACTCCGTTCTTTCGCCATTTCCCCACTACATAGCGCCCTACTAGCATTTTAGGCCGAGTGGGAAACCATCGTGCCAACTGCCTTGATGCGCTGCGGGCATAGTATGGAGATGGCGGATGGGTGGCATACCGGAAAAGTGGTGCGTCACTGCCGCTGCGGACCCACTGGCAAGGATAGCGATTCATGAAGGTGAGTGTGCAATTTGTTTCCCAGTGACTTTGTGTTGGATCCCTGGCTTCTGGGTTGTCTCCGGGAGTGTCGGTAAGATGACACAGGTTTATCA